TATATTAATTTAGGAATGGTATTTATTTTGTGTGTGTGTGTGTGTGTGTGTGTGTGTGTGTGTGTGTGTGTGTGTGTGTGTGTGTGTGTGTGTGTGTGTGTGTGTGTGTGTGTGTGTGTGTGTGTGTGTGTGTGTGTGTGTGTGTGTGTGTGTGTGTGTGTGTGTGTGTGTGTGTGTGTGTGTGTGTGTGTGTGTGTGTGTGTGTGTGTGTGTGTGTGTGTGTGTGTGTGTGTGTGTGTGTGTGTGTGTGTGTGTGTGTGTGTGTGTGTGTGTGTGTGTGAATTTTAAATTATTATATTTTTATAATATTACTTGAATTTATTGATGATTAGACATGTGATTAACGTTTCATTTCAACTTGGATTTTTTTAATACAAGTCGGGCAATCACTTTGCGTCACTATTACGTCACAATACATTAAATGTCAGTCGTATTTATTCATTTACATATTTGTATACTCAAACTTATTAGAGGATATCGAAAATGAAAAAATATAATTTTATCATGTAGAGACTTTTATATAAACAAACATAAAAGAGTTTTTTTTCAATCAATATAATAAAATGTTATTTTGGTAAACTTTAATGAATTTAACATTGACACGTTTTTACGGTAACAACAATGTTGTTATTGGTCTGTTTTTATCTTCATTTTGATAAAATACTTATTTAACATACTTTGATAATTTAAATATTAAAATTTAGAAGATATTAGACGTTACAATAGTAGATTTACAATGAACATGATCTATAAAAAGATTTTTGTTTATTTCGCAATATTCGTTATACCGGATGTAAAGTTATATGTGGCAGACTCTTGGTCAAATTAGTTAACTATGTATAGAATCTTGATATAGTTTGCTAAAAGGAAAGAAATACGTACAAATCATGGAGTTTAAAAGTATTTCCATATTTTTATGCAATATATGATTATTAAAAAATAATTTTACAATAAGTTAAATGTTTGAGGAATTGTTTGTAATGTAAATAGGTGATCTTCAGGTTTTATCTGAATAGAAGGACCTCGAGTGATACAGTCATCTATGATAGATATTTTCAAACAATCTAATGAAGTTATACACGTAACTTTTGGTTCAGTACATATTTCACAATATACACTAACTTATAATAACTGATATTTGTTAATACTTTTTCCAAACTAGATCTATTTCTTGATTGAAAAGATAAATTAAAAAAAAAACAGAAACAAAAATGCAATAAATTAAGAAGTAAATGGTAATTTTATATAAAGTTTTAAATTTTAAAGATTTGTAAACAATCGTCTATTTAGTTGTGATAATTATTAAATATAATTTTTTTATTAACATTTTAATACTTTTTCTATCTCTTCATTATTTATTGATTTATATTTACTACTCTGACAATAATATAGCTATACCATTCGATCACCGAAAGGCGCTTCAACTATAAAAAGTATATATCTCAACTTAGACAAGCAAATAACATCGGTCAGGCTTAAAGTGATGGATGATAAGACGGTTCAATTTACCGATAATTTCTTCAATATAATCATTTGATTCTCAGATCTGACTAACTATCTTGTAAAAAAAAGTTTGACATTGGTCAAAATTGGTCTGTTATTTAGAATACATTGTTATTGTAATCGCTATCTATTCAGCAGAAATCTGTTAGTACTTAAGTTAAAACCTAATTCTAACCCTTAAATAGATAGATAATTTGATAGATCTTTCATTCCTAAGGGTTCACAAAGTTATTTCTCAATTAACTCGTATATTTATTTTGGTTGCTAGTTCATGAAATGTATATGTGACAATTTAAGGTATTATAGCATCTTTCTTTCTTAAAAAGAGATTAAATTCTCGTGTATAGAAGTATAAGTTCATAGATGTACAACTGTAAAGTGACTTAAAATTATTAACAATCGTTACAAAATATTTTTAAGATAAAGACTTATCATTACTGGTTTTAATTTTCGTGTAGGTTAAGTAAGTTGTCAGATTCCGGTGAATGCCTCCATTGCTTGCGTTACTGCGTCTGCGTGTATTATCCGTGCAGTACGTCAATACCACAGTTCGACATCAACCCGAACTTTTAGGCCCAGAAATACTTGAATCGGAATTTCAGTGGTAGACATTGGTTTTGTCTATTATTAATCTAATAGAAACGTAAAGCTTAACATGAATTGTTGGAATAGAACTTTGTAATCTCTTACTTTTTATGGAACTTTTAGTTATGGCGTTAAGACAAGTTTTTTTTATTGAAATCTTTTATTCGTGCAATTAGCAACATCTTATAATGGATATTCAACATGCTAAACAAAATTCAATATCTCAACCAAATATTTTCCAAAAAGCAAAATCAATATAGGTTTAGTTATTACTACTTATTATTTATTTGTTAGTCTGATCAATCCAATTGATCAAAATAATTGAGAATTATATAATAAAATAGACTGTCTTGTCGTCATCAGTCAAGTTACACTCTAACAGTAGCAGATGTGCAGCGCTGTTCTCAACCAGAACAGCATATTGTTTCGAATTGTTCTCAACTTGGAAGATATCCTAAACTGTTCCGAGCCACCTATTTATACGTTTCTGACTAAAATATCATCATTCATGACTTAGGTTTTTTATATTGGTTTGATTAATTAATTTATTTTTACAAAAATAGGAACGCCATCTACACTGGTTTTTAAAGGCTGATATACTAAAAATATAATAAAAATTAAAACAAGTAATTTTTATACATGTTTAATACATCTGGATAAGTATCAAACTGATCATAATTTTGATAAGATAAACGTAATAGGAAATTTTCAACGTAATAGGAAAATTGTTTCATGTATCAAAAGATTATCTTAATATTTGCAAAATTTATAAGATAAACACATGCTTTCATAGCTTTCCAATTTTAAGTTAATGAATCAATAAATCTTTTAAATTAAAACTTTTTTTAAAAATTTATTAATGAAAATAATAAACGATTTTGTTATTATTTGTGATATAAAAAATTAAATAATATTAATATATCTGTTATTATTTCTCATTTCTTTACTATTTAAATTATCTAAATTAGCTCACTAAAAATATCAAGTATGTGTTCAAAATCGAAATTAATGAGCCTTATAAAACTATGGCTAATGGTGATAAAATAGGGATCTTATACTAACAAAATTCATGTACATAATTATTGAGTTATTGTATGATTTATAAATTATTCAAGCTATTTAATAAGTCCAAATGTAATAGAACATTATAAAATAAAATTAATATTTATTTCAATAAGTTCACTAAAAATCATTATACTCAGTTAATACATACGTGAACTGGTAGATAAAAGTTCTAGTTCGTAACATGTACAATTTGCCTATCAGCGGTTTGTTCAAGTTTTGAAAAAGCCAGTTTTTCATTCGTTTACAGTCAATGAGAAATTCCACATTTCAATTATAAAACATATTTATTGATCTGAATTCAAAAATCTTAAAAATGTTTTTTTTTTATATTATATATACGAATATTGTCTTGATTCAACACATTATCGGGTATATAAAGAAAATGTCCTCATAAAAAGGCAATTGAAAATCTGTATATTTTTTTACTTAAAAAGCAATAGCTTATATTTTGATACTAATTAACGATATAGCATCAGGTGAATGTCACATATTAACCATTGGAACGTAACCCCAAACTTGTACGGGTTTCACAATTTTCCAGTTTAAGTTTTACTTGTGCGCAGTTGTCAGATTGTCCACCGTCTCATCGTGCGTTCGCTGAACTCGAATCGGGGTAGATACCTCTTACGAATGCGACGTTGCCATTGGTGAATGTTCAACGTGACGGCGAAAATGATGACTTCGTACACAGTATTAACTTAATTGGAAGTTTTTAAACTTCAAAACTTTAGTTCTTCACTTACTGTTACATATATTTGAATGTATATGAACTTGTTATCATAATTTTGCATATTTTCACAAAATCGATATACTATGTTTCAAAACATACATGCGGTTATTTTTTAATAGTAAATCATACATATTACCTACAAGGTATACTGTATGCAATATTACGTTCGGTAATCTAATGAAATTTTTATTCGTAATTAACCAGGTGGCCACAAACGCAAAGTTCTTAATTTAAATCATTCGAAGCCCATCTCTCTATCATTTAACAAATAAGGACAACCATGCAGGAAATTTTTTTGATTTGTATTAATTATATAACTACCTGAAGTCTTAGAACAGCATTAATATGCGTTAAACCACTCATCAACCATCATCAACCAAAACCAATATTATGGGCAATTATCTTTGATCCAAGTTTATGAAAGCATGAAAATAGTGAATTAAATATATCATAAACCTTTAATATCGACAACTAAGTTCCGAACATCTACAATCCTATAAATTTTCTCAAATGAGTTGATACTCAACTCAAGTAAGGGTTGCAAACTCTCAACCGAAAATGTTTGTAAGGTGGTATTTTTCCCTTAGTAAGCAACACATCTCGTCAAACCTGCATGGTATCCAAATCAATAACCGTAGAAAGTAGCGTAAGTTTAATAGTCAAGGTCAGCTTTGTTACATCAGCATGATTTTTTTTCACAAGCTTCATCTGTTTTTGTGTGAAAACAATCGCAAAAATACTTCAACCATTACGTCTCGCTTCGTAAAACTTCGTGAGTCTTCGGTGTGTGGCCGTGCGCTGGCGGGGCCTGGAAGCTTTTAGAGAGCCGGCCTCGTTGTAGGATTGCAGTGCGCGTGAGCGGCCCGCGCCAAGCGCCTAGACTTGTAGAAGGTACGGTGGCGTAGTCTGTCCCGTCCTATCATGCTGGCGCTACCGCTCTAGCTCTCTTTCTCTCTCTATCGACGTTGCCGCCGCCACGGCGGGAGCGAGAGCCTGCGCCACGAGAGAGAGAGAGAGAGAGAGAGAGAGAGAGAGAGAGAGAGAGAGAGAGAGTGAGAGAGAGCGAGAGAGAGAGAGAGACAGAGAAAGAGAGAGAGAGAGAGACAGACAGACATAGCAGCAGCTGTATAGCTGCATGGCGCGTCCGAGGCTCTCGCAACACCGCCCGCCGTCTCGCACCTAGTCTCTCGCTCGCGCGCCATTCCGTCGCGCGTGTGCGTCTTGTCTTCGGGCTGCACCGCGCGTGTTGACGCGAGCCGTGAACCGTCACGGACTTTGTTCATCAACCAGACTGCGATTGATTATCGCAGTGAGGTTAGAATTCGTGCGGGGTCAACGGGACGACTCATTTACACGCAAGGCTCATTTACTGAACATTGGGACAACCAGGCCCATCTAGTGATTTTAGTAGCTGATGCAGCCCAGTCCCCAGTCTCGATTGGTTGGCATCCAGTAGACTTTCCGGTAGGATTTGTTTCATTATTCGTTAAAATTTCTGCTTGATTGCTGAATATTTTTTTTAGGTTTTTTTAAGTCTATTTAAGTGAATGGTTTTTCATGCTAACCTTTTCTGTTTTTCGTTATCAACTGAAAAGTATAGGTTATGTTAGGGGTCTACTAGCAACCTAACTTGTGCTTAGGGTTGACCCCGTTTTCCTAAAGTTCAGTTATTTAGTCGTAATTCACATGCATACTTATAAAGTTATTAATTATGAAAGGCATGTTCATAATTATATAATATTCATTTGACAATATGTGTGATAAGGATTGGATATACACATTTTTACAACAACAATTTTATGTTACCAAATTATTCAGGGATCATCCACAATAATTACCTATACTAAGAATGTATTTTTTCATTGTGTCTGATTTTAACTGAAGGTTCATTACAGGTTTTTTTCTATTTATAATTGTAATTTGATTTGCAATCATGACTTAAAAACATCATCAGCATTCGAAATGTCTGGCTTTTTCCTATTAGGATTTAACTATATTTTAGATATATGAAGTTCAGACAAAATCATCTCTTGCGATTTACTTTGATGAGAATTATTTCAGAATTTTCGTAAAACTTCAAATTAACACATCTTATGCGATAGTCTTATCAGAAAAATTCCATTCGTTACTTTTATTAAAATTTCAGGATAAGTATAATAATCATAATTTTGAAATTGTTTATTTAAAATGTTATAATTTATTATGAAATTAACATGTTACAAAAATTAGTGGGTTAGTTGTGATTTTTCAACTTCACACGCTCACAGTTGTGAAACAAACGGCTACACATCGGGATAGATGCTTGGTATTCCAAGAGCTAAGATCTCCACTAGCAAGCTCCCTCTGCGCATGCGTGATCAAGTTTGTTGCTGACAAAAATTTACCAGATTTACTGTAATTTATATTAATCCTCCAAAGTTGGACAATTATATTTATTATGAAAATCGTTTTAGATGCCTTTCCTAGATATCTATTTTAAAAGTTCTGTGAACATTGTCTAATTATTTTTACATCAACAGATACCAAAGTTTCAACTTTCTTATTTCAATAAAAGAGCATATCACCATTTTTTATCAAATATTTCAACAATTTATATGGAAATTCAATTTTAAAATCTAGTTAAGGTTGCATAAAAGTTGCAGGAATTTATATGTGTTAAAAATTAATTTTCATCTCGTTTTTGCGATGTCACGAAAAATTATTTAACACTATAACAACTATAAATGATTTTTATTTAATACAAATATGTGCAAGTTATCGTGATATTTATTGGAGACAACAGTGAATGCGGAAGATTTATTGTATGGGAAAAACAAATAGCATTTATTTATGTTGAAGAATGTATTTATTATGTTCTGGAATGGCTTTAACATCCAAAAACTTATCTTTCTCATTGCTTTCATTGAAAAATGTCGACAATTATTCAATTATTTAACTAGGTTATTACACTTCATGCTATTTGTTCTTCAAAGTCACATAACTGTATTATTATTTTACATCAATTTTTTAATCTCTCAACTGTAAATGTTAAAATAAAATATTAAACAGATTTAGATATCATAAATCTCTTTTTTTATTATATAAAAAATTCTTTATATTTTTACAATTTTTAAGTAAAAAGCGTGTACATAATATATTTTTTATATATTAAACTTATAAATATCAAAATCAATTGATGAAAATTAGGAAAATGATTTCCTTTACTCTGTTGTTTATTAATTATTTTTTGCATTTATTAAGAAGTTTTTTGCATAATATTTTTAATAATCACTTTGACCCTTTTCATTACCATTGCGATTAACATACAACATTCGTTATCTGCATAAAGTAACACCATCTCAAATAACCAATATTTCTAAACTTCTGTATATACCTTCGTGTAAATAAAAAATTTAGCTTTCATTTCCGAGATGTGGGACCTAAAAGAACAACATGGCTGCCGCTTCACCTAGAATTTCCCCTCCATTTATTTACGTAAAAGGTTATACATTGTAGTTTAACTCTGTGTAACCATGATAAACTATAACGTTTTCTCATAGAATTTCCATGAAAGATGAAAAAGTTCAATGCCAACTGAATTGGTCAACAGAAATCTTCAAAGTTTAAAAATGAAAATCAATATGCGCATTAGCTCGCACAAGGTGCTTTGCGAAACGAAGAGAGAGGAAAGCGGAGGCAAAATAGATTGAGTACCACTGCATCGTACGCGCATGCTCCCGCGCGTTTGACGTGTTCTGAATCCCCCACTAAATGGCTACGATTTTATGATATTCTTGCACTCGAAAAGATCCAAATTATTCAATGTGCATGTGTTAAATTTTCTGTTTTTCTTTGCTTTATTACTTACGGTTTTTCAATTTATGCTATAAAATTTTTTTGTGTCATCATTATGTTTTCTGCTCTATTAATTTTTATATTTATTATCTTATTATACTCTTTATTCAGAGTAAATGTGTGAATCGAAAGAAATTATTTTTTTAGAATTCTTAAAGGTTCTGTTTATGACGAACTGGAAGTGGGAGTTGATATTGTAAATCTTATGGTTAGTTCGTAAATCCCATGGTTAAAGCGATTATTTAAAGTACGTTATAATATAACTAATTTTTTAAATTAGTCTAAGATTAATTTCCGGTCGCTTACACTTATCATAGACAATATAAATATATATTCTCTAAATTTATGCAATTACTTCTAAATTGAATATTAATCGATGACCGTCATTACAATGTTAAAATTATATCAGAGTCCTTTCATGTGCAATAAATATGTTTAATAGAACCTTAACTTTATTATAAATGTCAAATCGATTACTAAATTTTATCGAATTGTTATTATTAATCGATTATTAAATTTGCATTTTCCTAATGAATAAGTTTTTTACCAACAAATCTTTTATAAGATATTTGCCTTTTTGAAAAACAAAATTAAAATATAATCTTAATATAAAATTTCGTAAAAAAAACTAGTAAAAATAATTTTGATACCAAATCCTATAATTTATCTAAATAGTTTTACTACTTTGTACAAAAGACATCCATACATTTTCTTGACTCAATGAAAATTTGCTCAAAACTCTTATACTTCAAATAACTTCATTAATTTAATGCCTATGATAATAAGACAACCATATACTATCAATTTAAATGTATTTAAAAGCATAGAGTTTTAACCAAAATCATTTTGGTTATTGACAGAATGCAAGCAATTATTAATCAGTGAACCTAATGGGATTCTCGACAACATTACTGATGTCTTATGATGATGGATGCAGTCAAAATAGGAACAGTGCCTACTACGAAGCCGTTGTTGATTAATAAAATAATTGAAACTACTGATAGTTCAAAGGAAAAAATCGATGATATTTCGTTTACTGAGGATAATGAAGATGATGAGATGAGATTAAGATTGTCTGATGAAGAAGAAAACGAACAGGATAATATATTTAGTAATATTCAAAATCATCAACCAAATTCACTTCTAAAAAAAGATGGTAAGAAGCTATCATTGGTACAACTAGATGAACAAGTATGCTGCTGGAATATGTCAAAAATAACATAAGATTTTCTTCTCTTCACTCAAATCTATTTTTATATATTTCATGCAAGACTTTGATTATAGAAATTACAATGCTTAATGATTGTCAATGTTTTCAAAAAATGTAAAAAAAAAAATAGTAGTGTATGTTTTTAAAAGCATCAATAAAATGTATGGTTATTGTTCCTATGACATTCCGAATAATACCTGTAGGCAATTTATAGAAAAATCGAAGTTCAATTTAGGATAAAAAATTAACCAGAAAAGATTATAAGAATTGTGTGACATCTTAAAAATGAATCAGTTAATTAAATTATATAAATGTACTTTACTGAAATACAATTTGGTGTCAATTATCATTAATATCCGCACGGTCGATATTTTTTTACGAAAAGTTACCAATTCTAAAAAAGCACGTTACCGTTCTTTGTGTTAAATTTTTTTTACATATTCAATCATTCATAGTTCACATACATTTAGACGTACAATGCTTTTTAAAATAAATTTGAAACAATAACATATGCACATTGAATTTATAACTATTTGAATACTTTCATTGTTGCAAATGGTTCACTAATTTATTATATTTGATCCCTCAACTATCTCAGTTCGAATGGGATACAAGTTTATATATCTAAGCTGCTATTTCTAATTTTTCAAAGTATAAAAAAAGTTTCTTAACTAAATAGATTTTTATGCTTTTCAGGAGCTCATATTATAATTGTAAATTATAATGCTTCATACGAACTAATGTTGCTATTTTAAGGTTTTTTCTGATTGCAGATTTCGAGTTAGACGCTTCTACTACTGTCAATTCCGAAGAGACATCTGAAGTCTGCCAGGAAAAATTGAAAAATACCGACACAAGTGATAAAAAAGTAAATACTCCTTCTACTGTTGATTCCAAAGACTCCTCTAAAGTTTGTCAACAAATATCGAAAGGATCAGAAACAAGTGTTAAACAAACTGATACTCTTGCTCCTGTTGACAACGAAAATAAATCTGGAGCTTGTCAGCAAAGGTTAATAGATTCAGAAGAAAGCACTGAAAAAGAAAATTGTAAGTCCATTCAACCTGAAGAAGCATCTATCAATCTTGAACAAGTAGTAAAATATTTGGATTCTGCTATCGAAGAAGGTGATTATACTAATTATCCAAGTGACGGTGATTTAGATGAAGAGAGGGTTACTGAAAACGGTAATTTGAGTGACGAGGAAACTGGTATGAGCGACAGGATGCCGCACAATCCCACGAAATATTGGTCAAGCTTCGACCCACGCCCATGGAAAGGATCACGAAAACGTTCAAGTTTTCCTCATCGTGGGTCTAACAGTTGGTATCATCAACAGTATCCAGATAGGGACAAGTTGAAGAAAAATAATCTTCATCATAGCAATAGCCATTTTATTAGAACAAGTCGTTCACGAGGAAGTTTCAGTAGTTCAGCTAGAGAAAGTTGGACTAGAGATGCGAAGAAAGACGAAGTCAATGCATCCTTGAGATTAAGGGATAAAAAGATTTCCAAAGATGTTACTACTGGTAAAGATCTTTTGGTTAAACAGAACGGCATTATCGCAAATGGCCTAGATCACAAAGAAAATAATTCTTCCGGCCAAAATGATAAGTTGATTACCGTTATGAATAAAACAGATAAAGTAGGGATTAAAACTATTTCTGCCGTACAGAATAAACGCACGTTAGATTCAAAGTTATCAACAGATCAAAGCAGTAAAATGAATGGTAATGAAAGTGGTGGTGTTAAACTGTTGAATGGAGTTGTATATGTCGATGATCGTCCAAGTAGTATAGCTAGTGCATCAATAACCAAAAACTGTGAATTATCATTGATTGACAAGGATAAAGGAAAATTTGAATCTTCATCACAAAGTACCGCAACAGAAACGATAAAAACTCCAAAAATTAGTGAGGTGCTCAGCGAAGCCCAAATACAAATTAAAGATGTGACATCACAAAACAATAGCATGAATAATAAATTCAAAGATTTAATGGATGTTGATGAGAATGTTAACGACAAACCTGATAGTACTAGTGATTTAATTTGCATACAAGCTAATATTAGAGACGCTGGTGAGAAAATCGGTAAAAACGATGATTTCAGCTGTGTTTCCATTGTACAAGAAAAAACAAATGGAACATTAGAAAAGAAAAAATTAGATGATAGTGTTCAAAGAAATGACTATCAAACTTTGGAAAGTGGCAAATCCATAACTTTCACCGAAATCGGGCAAAGAGATGACGGTATTAAGAACTACCTGTCCATGGATGTTGATTTAAACACGGAAACATCTCAAAACAATGAAGATGATTGGAGAGACTCTGAATCCGGTTCGCTGATCATTGATGAAAGTGCCCCTAAAGAAAATAAATCTAATGATAAATTGAACGGAGATACCGAAGATGGTAAAACCCTAAAAGAAGGTGACAAGTCAGGCGCTGCAAAGAACAAAGATCAAAATGGATTGAATAATGTGATAGAAGAAGTTGATTTGATTGATGATGATTCACAAGAGGCAATTCTCAAATCTAATAATACAGACACTAATATATCGCATTCAGTTTCTCTTGATACTACAAATGGTGATAAAATAGAAGAAAGCAGTCAAGATGGCCGAGCTGCTGTTCATAAAAGACGTCGAAGAAAAAAACTTGTAGAAACCATGCAAGAGGAACTGCTAATTAGCGAAGCTGGTAAGTTTTCTGGTACTCTTTAGAATATATTTTTTTAAATTATAAACGTAATCATTGAAAACGTTTTTGACGGCTTATGAACATTTTTACACGATTCTCAAACATCATGAACCATTCTTATGCGTGAAATGTAAATATACAGGATGAAAATATTAATTAATCACTGTACCTTGATTGAGAAAAACTTGATTGTTCTCCAGGATAATGTTTATAGCGTGGGATAGTTGAAGGCTAAGGTAGCTGAACTAGAAAAGATAAATTTTATCGTAGATGGCCGTACTTAGGTATTTGAACTTCTACGAGCAAAGGACACTCAATCGGTAAATAGGTGTCTTACATACTAAGAGCACTTCGGTTGACGTTCGGACTGGCAGTAGCAATACAAGTAGATAGGAATGTATATCGAGCATAGGGAGCTGATCTAGTTTTTGACTACAATGTTAATTTGTAGACCATTATGAAACTTTTAGAAAGAAAAACTTGTCTGTCTTAATTCTTTTTATTTCTTTGATATTTTTTCGTCGCAAGAAAGATACAAAAATTTTATTCTATGGGTGATAAAAAAAAAGAAAAATTTGTTGGTATGCGATGAAAAAAATCTAAAAAAATAAGTCGAAAAAATATCTCTGCCTGAAATTTTCATAATGGCTCAGAACTTAAAATACAGTCGAAAAATACATAAGATCTCTAAAATCGCAATGTATTTCTACATAATTGAAATTTCACACACAACCGTCAATACTAATAGTTGCCATTCGCGATCAAGTTGACTATAACGCCTGTAATTTAGCATTAAGAAATGCTGCGGTGGAACTCCGAAGATGCTTAAAGGAAAAACAAATATACTGCTAGTATTTCGCTGTAATCGCCAATTGTAGCTTGAATCACTGGTACCCTCTACTTTCTTCCGCTTTATTAAATTTACCATTGTTCAGGATGAATTGGTGCCAGAAATTTTTATTGCTAACTACGCAGAGTATACGATAACAAACCAAGTACTACAGTAGTTGCTTTGTAAGCCATCGTATTTACCGATTGATTGTCAATTACATGTAAAACTTTACTAAAACCTTACCGAGAAAGAAATATTATTTAAGTACTATGCCCGATTCTAAAGGGGGGGATGTACTCGAGGATATTGTTTTTCACTTGCTGCTTCGGCCTTATACTATCCAGAGCTACAGATTGCGTAAATAACTATTAATAGCAAATTTTTTTTAATTTTTTAATCGTGATAACTATTACATTATCATTTGCGCAGTCACTGTTCGAATCAATTATTTCATTGTTTTTTATATTCGTTTTGCACTAATAAATACTGACATCGACTTAACCACTCATATACTGAACCTACCATTACACTAAAACTCATGTTATATTTCATGCAAGTTCTGAACACAAATACACTAAATTAATATGGCGGTATATAACGGTGTTTGAAACCTAAATGTTTATTATCAAGGCATAATAGTATTCCAGCCTAAATATACATAACAGTGTTTCTAGTATTAAAGGTTTAGTCTCAAACCGAATTAAATCTTGAAACACAACGTTTATAATATAAACAGAATGCGAATCATAAGAAAATACGAAGAAGATTAAGATCTATGTATAGTTATATTTCAATATTGAATACAATTATAAAACTTGTTGCTACTGCCTTTTAAAAATTAATTAAGTTTGCGGATAAACTCTCAGTATAGTAACGCTATTAGGAGCTGGGAATTATATTGCCGGCTTCAATAATTTGCACATTTAACAGAAATTGAGGTAAATGCAACTGACGCATTTTCTGGCTTTGATCAGTTTAATCATTGTTGAATTTAATTTTAAACTCTAACTTCTGGTGTCTTATTTCATTAAACATCTACATTATTGCACAGTTCCAATGACCAACATCCTTATCCAATCGATGACACATCTTATCTTCGTTTCACGAAAACTTAGATTTCTATAACAATAAATAAAATCAAGTAATAATAACACGTTAAAATATAGCACACCTTTTCCTTCTCATTCTCTTTTTATGCTAACAATATTGCTGAATTCCTGAAACAATGTTTGATGTGAATCATAATATCATCCTCCATTAAATTGTAAAAACATTTAAACATAAAAATTCACTTTTCGGATTCGGTGAGACCTTAGTTATGACTTTTTTAGTTTACAACTTTTATAAAGTTAACCAACGAAACATTCAATCACACACTTATGCCTAAATGAACATCAATTAGATCTTTATTTGTTATTCTGTCGCCTATCATTTGTCATAACCACAAACGCATTGAAACTATCCGAAAAACATTCATAAGAATGTAAGATTTTCCCGCAAAAACGCCCGACCGAATGACCGAAGTTTGTTATCAACCGCATCACAATGATCGACGAGTTTTTCAACTACGTTAAACTGTTGATAGAAAGTGGAGGTCGTCAGAAGCGGCGTTCGGCACGAAATGCTGAGGAGATGATACGCAAAGAAATCCTCAAAGGTGACAACGACGATGAGGATTCGAGTGACGATGTCGATAAACTCGTAAAGGTCAATTATCGTAAATCGTTGACGCCAAACATCATCACGCGCACTCTTTCACCGCCAACTCTTAAACGGACACTGGACGAAGTCTCCGATGAAAAGGACAATGCGGCATCGACGGGACTCAAGAGAATCAGGCCCAATGTAGAGGATACTTCGGTATCGGTAGCGCAAAAACAAAGGAACGAATTTTTGTCTCCGAGAAAGTCTCAAGAAAGCGTCATCGCAACAGGTCAACTCATGAGAAAGATATCGCAAGATGATATCAGAGGAAAGTTGAAGAAACTAACACAAGAGGTGCAGTAATTTCAATAATTCAATTTTTAAACATTTTATAAATATTGGTTAGTAACGGTTGAAAAATTCAATTTTTTTTAAATTACCAACTGTAAAAAAATGATCAATTCGTTAGAATTAAGGTGATTAATCGAATCCACTTTTTAATTATAAGTTTTTAATTTAAATAATTTTATTAAACAATTCTATCATTAATCTTTGTGAATAGATAATTCGAAGAATTCAACAAAATCTTCATTATATATTTATTTTAATGTGTACAAATTCCTGTACAGTGAGTTTACCGGTTATTTTATCGTACGCGCGTGTGTGTATAAGTGAGTATGTGTGTGTGTTGGGTTATTGATATTTTTGGCTTTCGGCTGGTAATTCGGTAGAAGGAAAAAGAAATATTCACAAAGCAATGCCTTGTATGATTCTAGAATCTAGAATGACGTATAATTTGGGATCATTTATATCGGTTAAAAATGTATTAACATTTCAAAAATTTCTCGGGAAAAGAAATAAATTTGTTCAAGGTAGTAAAATAAAACATTCATTTACCACCATATTGCTAAAGTGAAAACATTATAATATGAAAGCTATTTTGTTTTGGTTATATCCGAAATGGTTAAGTTTAACCTTCTATTTATAAGACGGAAGTGAAGGCATTGACAGTTGAATGTTTTTATTTTATTCTGTAGCAATACGTCTATCAATACATAATATATATTCATTTATTTATTTTGCAAATAATTCGATTTTAAGAATTAACAAACAAATACTTCAATAAAAATCTTAAAAGTATTTGTTTACTTAGGGTTTTTATTATTAGAAATCGTCGATAGTTTCTAAAACAATCATTCGATTAAAATGTGTAACTTTTCTAAATAGGAATTAGAGGCTCTGCTTCTACAAAAGATTGTCGAGTGCATAACCGTGCGCGGCGAAATGGGCAAGCTTCGAGAGCAGGCTCGCGCTTCGAAAAAGTGTCAGGAAAGTCTTCGAAACAAGAACCAGCAGCTTCAGAAGCAAGTTGAGGGTTTCGAGATGGTCCTGAAGCGAATCAATTATGATAAGAACAGCAATGGTGATAAGTACGTGCCACCAATCAAGATCAATCGGTCTGTCGGCTTACAAGTGAACTTCTTATCTGTAAGTATTGATCAAAAATTGAAAAAAAAATTTTTTCTTCACAATTACAAAAATTATTTATATATTGCAAGTGAGCTACATAACGTTTAATCTATATCGTTATTCAAGCAACATGTATCTCTCACTCTATCTTTCTCCTCTTTCTCTACCGAAGAAATTATGCAACAAGGAAAATAAGTCATATATTACTATCCATTTGTATTCACTACAGGGTCGAAAGAAGTGAAGTAAATCGCCTAAAAGATCTTCGATTGTAGGATTGATTACTGGCTCATTACTGACAAAATACTTTAATTTGAAATGTGGAGGCCTGATAAATAACATTTGTTCTCATATGATCTACTTATAAATAATATTTTCATAAAAATAACCGTAATGTGTCCATGGCGATGAAAAAGACTAGTATAATGAATGTATTTAGAAAAAATTTAATTTATTGTTTTGTCCTCACTTTTCAGCTTTATAAAGTTGGTATGACTGTTGAATGAAGAATAGAAAGTCAAAAATTGAATACCCTTTTGTCAATAGATTCACTATTTAGTTTACTTATTTTAAAATTTTATAGTCAAAATCAATGAAATAATGGTCGTCATTAGATTTCTGACATTACCAACTATTCTTGGAGCAAATCACAATGATGGCCTTACTAGCTCTGATCATACAGTAGGCTTATCCTTATAAGAATAACCTTCAACTTGATTTCCTCGTTGCATAATGTACTATATTCCATTATGGAAAGTCGGTTCAATTTTAAAAAGTTATTAGTGTAGTAACCCGTTGCATTAAGAATATAGTGTGACCTTGTTTACTATTTTGAAAGGTATTTTATGCAGTTTAAAACGCTTTTCAATCGAAATTGCTGCAAACATATTGTCACGATCAAATTGAATTTCTTGGACAATGCTTGAAAAAACGGCGGTCAACTGTTTCAATGAGTAGCATCATTCTTCAGCAAAATCCAAACTTACGTAATGTGTACGAACGCTATTTTATAGCAGGAGCACGGAATCCAAAGTCTGAAACAAATTCAAGCTCTCCGAACGGGAGCAAACAGTGCCAATACACCGAAACAGGTATCAGCGCAAGCGCTGATCCCGGACAACCAGAGTCCTCGTAAAATGATGAAAACACGATCGCCACGCAGACCAGATATGACACCAACGATAGTTCAGGTACCAACTCCGACCTCCGTTGGCGTTCAGGCGAACAGCGCAACTCCTGCTCTCGTAATGACAGCGAAACCGACTGATCCCAATGCCAAACGTAACGGTAATGTCCTGCAGATCGTTGCGCCATCAGGTAATCAACAACAGACCGTTACCACAAGACCTACGCTTACAATACAAAGGACGACATGTACCAACCCTAGCAAAGCTAGTGATCTCATCGACTTGACTGACGAAGAGGACAAATCCAAAGGTTGGTTTTCTACCTGCTAGAGATATGAACTTAGAACCTAAAGTGTAAATTATTATCACGACTGCATTTCTATTGTTTGACTATTAGAATGCAATAGTAACTGATCAGATATAAAAGAATGCGTTGGTTAGTTTAATTTATAGGTGCTTCAATATGAAATCTTAGATACGGAAATTCATTGCATTGCCTAATATATCCAACAGTCAGAAAAATCTTGAAAACCGCAAAATAGTCGAAATGATCAGCAAAGTTCATGTATTTTTTATCAAGAATTTTTACAAATTAGTTTAAATTGTCAATCGTTAAATTAGATAGTAAATACAAGTATACGTCTTACAAAATATTTGTGAAACTATCTCTTACGAGTTTCGGAGTTGTCAAACTCGAAAAAAATATTTACCCGAAACAACGTGGTAACGTATTCCAAAATAATACTCAAGCCCAAGTGGTTGAATAAACTCGATCGACATGGCTGCGCAGTAAGCATGCAAGCACATATCCATTTTTAACATCACTACCAGCAAGTGTATTTCTTTCTTAGAATATATTTAATTGATTATTGCTATTTGAAATTTATTTGAATTGAACATCACATCGGGAATTACGGCCCTAATTTATACCATGGAAAACCCATAGGAATAAAGAATTTTATTGATGGATTTCCTATAAATGTACTTCATGAAATATGCTGGTCAAAGTAATACTTATTGGAAAATAATTTGATCAGTGATATCAGTATTGAATTTTTAACCTTATTATTTACAAATTAGATTTGTTACGTATCTTACCCACCCTGTACAAACAGAACTTACGAAATGAATTATTGAACGATAATTATTCAGTAATTATAATGAGAAATTTATGTTATTTTTTTATAGTAACAGCTATTGCAACTACTGGTGGACTACCGGCTAGATTACCACGAGTATTACAAGCTGTACCAGCTAGTAGCGTGGCTTTAAATAATGCAACCAACCTGAGACTATTACCAGCAGCTAATTCGACTGCTGCAATGGTAAGCTATTATATACAGCTTTCCAATAACAAGCTCGACCAAATATATTCAGTTTATTAATTTAACAATCACAACTTTTAGGGGACCAACGTACCAAGACTAGCATACGTGATGCAAAGTGGTCCAAATGGTGTACCGACAAGGCAGTTAGTTTTAACAAGTAATAATTCAGTAAAAACTGTAACAAGTTTAACCACAACAGGAACGCTTAATTATAAACGAAGTAAATATTATCTCGGAGCTCAATTGAATATTGTACTAAACTGATTTCTTATCAATAAATTATCTTTGCAGGCGTAACTGCATTGCCAAATGGAGCTGTAAGATTAGTGACAACGCAAGCTGCCCAAATACCGATTTCAAAGGTAAACGACGAAGAACTCAATTCAATGACTGCATTCTTTGTACTATACTTATTGAGTTATTATAATAGCATCCAGCGCCTTTGCCGGAATCACCTATGCCACCATCGGAGCCTTCGTGGAAATTAGCGCCACCAGCACCGTCGCTGAAGATATCCAAAGTTGCTACTGGTAATATAAATGCTATTACTTTTTCATTGCAAAATTACCTCTATGGTTGTATACTTAATAAAACTTGTAATCATTCACAGGCATCGTACTATCGTGGAATATGTCGCTGACGGATAAGTATGCAGACATAGTTAGTTATCAATTATACGCTTATCAAGAGGTCGCAGGGACGCCTCCTAGTGCAAATTTGTGGAAAAAAGTGGGTGATGTTCGAGCGTTACCATTGCCCATGGCTTGTACTTTAACTCAGGTATGCTTCATTTGCAATAGCGTTCTAGTTAGTAATTAATATTTTTTGTATTTGTTATTGACAATAATTTTTCTTCTCTAGTTTACGGAAGGAAATAATTATTACTTTGCTGTCAGAGCTGTTGATGCACATTCCAGATTCGGCCAGTACAGCAAACCTGGCAACATTTCTCTGTAAGAGAAATGTAAATTAAAATTAACTATTGAACTAGGAACATATATTTGCCTGTTTTCTTTTCACTGCTCCGGACTTATATGAAGTAAGGTTTTAATACGCGTTTCGATACGAAAGATTACTTTTAATACATTATTTGTAATATAACATCGTATAGTTAGGTAAACAAACTTAAAAGTTTTCATGCGTTTAACATATGTAAGTGTGTGTAATATCATGTAAAGATGCTCAGTTTTACTAGATTTCCATTAGTAGCACCTAAGTTCTTGTTTTATAAGCTTTGATGATAAAGGAAAAAAAATAGAATTTTTTGTGCGGATATTTTAAGTTTGAATTTCATTAACTACTTTTTAGTTTTAGCACTGTGTTCAGCAACGGATTGATACTGTTCAAAATTTATTTTTCTTGTTAGAATGTCGAAATCGACCTGCCAAGTTACTATTTTGAAAAGTTAGGAAGAATCGAAACTTACTGCTTATAACTGTTAATATGGATTTATAATAATTCCGAAAAGAAACCTTTCAATGATTACTTTTTCAATCAATATTGAATTTTTTTTTACATGTTTGTTATATTACTTGTGAGCTCTAAATTATTTGTTATGTGAAAATGTAAAAATATACCAGCTGTGAATGAGCTTGATAATTGATTTAACTTAATGTCAGTCAAGACGGAGTAAAGAAATGATTGCACTGGTCATTTCTGTGAAAAGAGTTAAAAAGGCTTGAAGTGGTGGTATTTAATCCAATTTGTATCCTTGAAGTAACAATTAAAGGTGTACTAAAAAGTAATAGCTTTAAGAAAGTTTTGTATATAAAACAGTATATAAGAATAAGTTAGAAGTTTTCCTGAGTGACCTTGAACATGTTTCTGAACTAGCCGCTTTATACAAATAAATACTTGGATGTTTTCAATCAAGCGAAAGTTATTATTTATTTAATTCCAAGTTAATGTAAACGGGGGTGAAATAAGATGTTCTTTTTCATTTGTTTTACAACGACTTCATTTATATAATCTTTATTTTTATCCTGTCCTTTTAACACTCTGTTATATATAATTATTATCATTATTATTATTACATAACTATTATGATTTATTTTAAATCACTATACAAGACTAATGCAAAACCAATAACTAGATAATTAGTATTTACAAATGGAACTTTATATCGGTACATACGACGGAGCTTCATTATTCCACATTTATGCAAACGAGTTTACAGTCCTGCGAGTCTTCATTTCATATATATATGTGTATATATATATATATTTTTTATTAATTTAGAATTCAAAAAGTATCAATACACTCAATAAGTTGTTCAAAAAATTAAAATATCTGTAACAGACAGTACTATATAGAGATTTTTAAGTAGGAAATATTTTTTGAGGCATATTTGGCACTAGGCAAATTGCTAGTAGCTTTTCACAACATAATCTTGGAAAATATGGTTGACTTTTATTTATTTTCACCTTATCTTAGATGAATTATTCAACTTATGTATAAAGGTATTTTGAGTTACAATCTAATTGCTGTTGACTAGTACTCTGTGCCGTAATCTTTTAGTTTCACAACTTTATTAATTAGATGAAAATTTTTATTTCTTGTATACTTAATACGTTGAAATCACCATAGAGATTAAAACCTTTTCTTTCTAAATCACATCGAGATAAATCCTTCAGAACACGTATAAAAATAATTTTAAAAAAATTTGAAAAAAAGTACGGGTTTGTTATTCACACTTTCAAGTCTATATATATATATATATATATGTGTGTGTGTGTGTCAAAGATTGAGTTTTAAGTATATTTGATGCACTGCATTTACAACGAAAAATTGTTGTTTAAAAAAGACTGGAAAAGTAACAAAAAATGGTTCTTTATAAGTGGGTTATGAAAGTAAGAAGAGGCAATCATTATTTTGCAAGCTTAACTATTCTATACATTAAAAAAATGCATCGTTGTGTTTAAATGATACGTGTGAAATTATTTCATTAACAACGAAATGAAGAAAAAATATTACGTAAACTTTACAATCTTCTCTATAATGTACAGCATCTGCCATATTAATAACAAAAAAGTATTACTAATCACTGTTAACCATTGGTTACAATATATTTATATACAATCACACGCGTCAAAATTAATGGAAAGTTAATACTATTTTTTAACTTATACACAAATATCAAATAAAAATTTTTCTTGTTTAGTTAATTGTATAGATAGCATATACAGTTGCCTACCCCTATAACATTAACGTTGAAACGTAATTTTAAATACCTTTCTAGACACTGGGCCTATAACAAAAAAAATAATAAAAAAATTTAATAAACAACGTAAGCTTTTGTCAAAATTCTTAGTTGAAACTGCGTCGTCAAATACATTACAAACGATGCGAAAACGCGACTCTTTATATTTTTCTCTTAAAATATTTAAAAGCCATCTTTTTACAGAATCCTAGATTCATTTTTTAAGGAATGTTATTTGATCTTTTTTTGTGTCACAACATTTTCGGTAACTCAACAACCAATTACTATTACTCTTAATATTTTACATCTAATTTTTATCAACAAATAAGGAAGGCAATAAGTAGTGTGTATATATTATGTATTATAAGAACGTCAACTTCTATTGGCCGTTCTTCTCACTTGGTTCAACCTCTTAAAACTAGCGAGGACTCGGTCGCTTACACTTGACTGTCAGAACAAGATAAAACATCTCGTGAAAAAAAAATAGCGTCAAAATCGTTGATTCTCTAAGACAATATGTCTTCGTGCATATTTCATTTATCTCACAATTAAGAAAAAGTATATTCTGCGAGTTGGCGGCAGAATTTGTCGGCAGATTCAATCAATTATCATATCAACAAATGAGTTTTCTCACAATACATGAGTAAAACGGAAAATACACACTAATTACATGAAAAATGTTCTAAGTGACTAATCGCCGAGTGAACATTATGAACAATGATGAGTGAGAATCCACTTATTTTCAAGCAAGTCAAATAAAACGTCTCATCAAAAATATCTCCGTTTTTTTTGTAATACCATCGATTGTTAAAAACAAGTAGATTCCACGTTATTACAAGCATACACGCGTTCACTACTGATAAGTTTCGCGCTTACAAACTGAACCGTTGCGTCGACAAAAAATTACGAACCAACATCATCCTGGCTATTTGTAGCAACATCAGTCGTATTGACTGTTGTACTCCTAGCGGGATTAACCACAGCCGCTGCAGTTTCGTCTTGATCTAGTCGTGACGAACCACATACTCGACACTTGCAACAAACAATGCAAGGTGCCGCAAGTAGGAGTAAGGGCGAAGCTACGAGGAGCAAGAGACCAAATCCTGCGAAGATACCGATCACCTGTGTCCGATGCCATATCACTGAGGCACGCGAGTGACCCAACTTGTTTTTGCATGGTCCCTTGTCATAGTGTCGTAACAGGAAGTCATCCTGAAATGGAAAAACATCGTCGACAATGGTCTCGTAGATAAATCTAATCAGCTTATCTTTTTAACGTGAGACAAAAAATGGTGCAACGAATGAGGTTATATTTTTATTTCTTGAGATGAGTCGTCTTCGTATTTTATGTTATTTTTAAAATGTGTAAAATTATGCCGTGTAAAAAGAAAACGCAAACATAATCACGTGACTTCGTGAATACAAAAAAAACGAAATATGAATAACCGTGTGTATATTATCACCTTTCAACTGTAAACATCATTATTAATTCTCATGCGTTCACGTAAGTGTTTTTGCATTATTGTCCAAATAATTAATAATTACACGGAATACAAACTTTTTCAATATAGCAATGTATACGTATCCGTTTTTCTGTTCGCTATTTTGAAAACTAAAATTCTTTAATAACAGTATATTTTTAAAGACTATCACTGACAATCCCATTTGATTGTCGTCGCTATTGCACATATTCGACTGTAATCGCTTTAAAAAAGAAATAAAATAAGAGAATAATTTCATCTTGGTTTTCCTGATTTCACAACAATGAGCAATTTTCCTCGTACATTTATGAATGTTTATCCTAAACGAATCAATTAGAATCATAAGCTTACCAATTAGAAAGAAAATAAAAAGAGTTATGGTAAAAGTTCTATCTAAGGCGACGATTTTTTCACCATAACTCTAATCAATATACACTCGCTGCTCATTAATATCAAGCAACTTACATCAAGAGAAGCCAAGCAGTACCAGCAGAATACGTGCTTGCATCGCTTGCACATCATTTGCGCACAACCCTCGTCTTTTTCGATAGGTACCGAGCACATTGGACAACATTTGATGTGATCACTGTCAAATGGTATACCCATTAGTAATTCAGGACAAGGACCAACGTGCCACGGTTCTCGACATATCGAGCAAAAATCTGTCGAACAATTCGGACAATGAACGGGTCCTGGTTGACCTGGCGAACCACCATCAGAACCATTGAGTGAACATATTGTGTCACAACCTGCACGTGGACACCATGCTCTTTCTTTGTCCATTGACACATCTAAAAATGGAACAATGGTATTATTAATGAGTATACGAAGTTGTAACAACGTTTACCCTTGCTGACAATGAATTTATATAATGGTAAAATATTGTACGGACTCCCCTCCTGATCCACCCTTCATCCATGAAAAGTTCATTACATAAATGTTATATCGCGCGGGTGCTTTGCATGTACAGATTTATATAATTATCGATTCAATTTGCTGCCATTTCAGCTTTATATTGGGTTATCTAAGCGCTCCTTTCAATTAGCATTTACGAGTTAATTGTAGATTTTAGAAAATTTGATTGACGAGCAAATTTACCTTACTGTTTTTCTGCAGTACAGTTGCCAAGAGTCGCTTCGAGCTATACGTACTCTTATTTAATGAATTTACAGAGGTATTAATGAATACTGCATGGCACAAGTTCATTAGATAATAAATTACAAGATATAAAATAAACACGAAAGAAAGTATTTTTGGATTACGTTGAACTATTGAGTAAATTTCATTTTCGAATCAGTAAAAAGGGATGTATTGAACATATACAAAAACAAAATGTGATTAGCGATGCTTTGACCTTTTCGAGAGCCTTGCTCAATCAAAAAATATTGCGTGCAATACAGCCGGCCGTTTGCTTACGTTATCTAAATTATTTTCAACAGAAATTTTGATTGATTATCGCACAAGAGTAAAGATAAGAATATACGAATTTAGATAAGGAAAAATTCAACGCAGGATCGATTAAAAAGCCGCTTATGCTTACCTCTATTCAGACGGAATTTGTGGTGTTTTTCGATGAGCTCCTGATTCACAAGTGTGCCAATTTCCTTGAGAGAAAGCATCCCGTCTTGATCGCATTTCGCATCAGGACAGCTGATGTCATACGCTCCTTCTTCAATTTCAAACTCCACGTAAGCGCGCATGCACTAGAAAAACATTAAACATGATTCATCATTCTTATCACAATCACTTCCTCTGAGGATGTTTGGGATGGCTAAGGCTCAATGTTACGAATATATGTAGAACGTCACACCGAACTATGTCAACGTTTATACATTTCTTATTAATACGACTCCGTGCCAAGCTAATTGAACTGCTCTATACATTACGTACAAACATTAACCATTCACTCGTTATTTAAGAACATCTATAGAAGATAAGTAGTAAATGTGCAATCTATACAAACGGATACGTACGTCCTTACAGTAAGAGCATCCACAGTCTTCGATGCTGAACGTTTGGGAGAGAGTCACGTCAGATAAACAAAGTTTGCACAATAAACGACCAATCTGCTGCTGCGAGGTGGCCGCCGGTACGAAATTACCAGCAGCCAAGCTATACCTTGAGCTCGAGGCAAGTGACAGCAGACTGGAGCATCGCGAACAAACTCGACTACGGTTCACCGGTCGACCTTCTAGGGCCAAAGTACTTAAACCCACTGCAGTCTCACACTTTCTTAATGCTGTAGGTCCTAAGTTTATCCAACTATTCCCTCGTGCCTCCAAGCTTGCACTACTCTCTGGCCTTAACAATGGTGCTTCGCCACTTCTTTTATTCATTGACCTTTCAGTCAGGGACAAATTGATAGCACTGGATTCCTTACGTAGCAGGGGTAGTCTTATACCGCTCAGTTTGCTGTTGCTTTTGTCCATTTTCTTCTGACTTGAGCTGCAACTGTTGATGGCTTTCGATGAGGGGTTCATTGTAGATACTGAACTTGCAGCAGTACCCATATCCATGGGAGCAGCTCGTCGTATGACGAGCGAGTATAGGCTAGGCATCCCCTAATCAACTTGGACTATTTCATCTTTGGCTCTTAAGCCAGTGGCTAGGATCACCTTTCTATCATAGAGTACATCTGTCCTTAAATGAGATCTGAAAAGACAATTGTATGACTGTTATAAAATGTAAATAGATATTTTTTTCATTTTACTGATCAAATTTTTAATATTCATTGATTCTGAAGAAAACTTTTGAGTGTTTTAAGAAGGGCTATATAATTGGTTAATTGCTGACAGAGTCAAATAAAAATATTGAAAATATTCTGAAACAAGGAAACAACACTGTGAACTATGGATACTATGATAAATTCTAATTTTTATTTACAAGGTTCAAGAAAAAAAAAGTGAAATGAGAAGATAAGAAGTTTAAAGTTGGTATACAAGCATGAAAATAGAAGTATTAAAAGCTTTAAATAAATATTGTGCAATGTTATTATACTGAAGTAATATGTAAATACAATGAGAAAGAATGAAGATTGTTTAAAATAGATATGAATAAGTTATAATGTTTTTCAAAGATTTTCATATTTTTTCTTATACTATAGCAAAGTAAAAATTATTCAATAAACTGCATATCCCAGTATGGATGTGGCAATAAAAAAAGTAGTTCTATTTTCAACTTTACTCTTCTATTAAAATCAATATTTCAGCAAATAAATTGAGTACCTGTACATAGACACTTACTGTATAGTTATAGATATAATGTGAAAGTAACATGGTATTACAGCAATTGTAAAAAGTAAGAAACAGCTGTAGATTTTACAAAGGTAACCAATACTTATAATTAAATTAAGTAGTATGAAAAGATTATCAAGAAACAATATTAAGATTCATGGGTTAAGAGTTAATATAATTTTTTGCAGATGGAAATATGTTAGAAATAATCAAGTGTAGTAATAAATATAGTGTATTTAAATATTTTTAATGACAGCTTGTACTCAAAAACATTAACCACAGCAGTAGTGACATTGAAAATTTTATGTACAAGCGGTCAATGACTGAGTTCAAAATATTTCTCCTTTATTAGTGAGTCATATTACTCTAAAACAATAACTCTTTAAAGAAAGAGATCCGTAAGAAATAATTTCAAAATGTAGAAATACCAATAGTATGAAAAATAGATTGCATGCTTAAATAAATCACAGTGAAAACCAGTACTAAAGTTGCTCTAGCAATCTACAAGCCTTTTTAAAAATAAATCCAACAAAATTCGTGGTAGTACTGTTACAAATTTAAAGCCCAGCATAGAAAGCAGCATGTGCAGAATGGAACATTCAATACCTAACAAAATTGTACATGAGCAAATAATCCTAACCAGGTAATCTACCTTGTGGAAGCTTCCAGCAGCCAGTGCAAAAGCTGGTCAATGGAAAGCATGAAGAGCCTCACTCACTGGAGCTCAAGATACGATCACACATTCGATAGTTTGTGCACCCACACTCTCTTCCTGTCTCTTTCGAGAGAGGCGTTGAATAAACAAAGGTATAAGCCCACTAAACCCACTAAAAACTGGAAGCTCTCGCGCAGCAGGAAGACGGTGAGGATATACACACCACGACGACAACGACGACGACAACGACGACGACAACGACGACGACGTCGACGACAACGATGACGACGACGACGCTGCTCCTCGACACATTCACGGCTGAGAAGTCGTCTCCGTGTGCTGGCTGCTTCGCTTGAAGTATCCCAAGTATATATCGTTGCGTTTCGCTCACTGTGTTCGCTTCTCTGTGTTTGACACACACCGAGTTGCGCCGCCGCTAGTGGCGCTGCCGATGCCGCAGCCCCGTACTTTCACCGACAACGATTCGCTCTGCAGCGACTGGCAGCGACTGAGAACGTCGGGCAACAGTATAGTAACAGCAGCCGACTGAGCTGATGATGACGATGATGATGACAATGATGACGACGGTGATGATGATGATGATGATGATGATGATGATGATGATGATAAGGATGATGATAAGGATGAGGATGACGATGACAACGACGACGACGAGGACGATGAGAACGACGAGGACGATGAGGACGACGACGATGACGACGACGACGAAGACGACGACGACGATGACGACGACGACGACGACGAAGACGACGACGAAGACGACGACGACGACGACGACAAGGATTTTGAGGCTCTCAACGTCTCCCTCTCTCTCTCTTTTTTTCTCTTTCTTTCTGTACAAGTTTATGAATTTTGAGACAGGCCAAGACTCTTTTTATTTCAATTTTTTTTTTTATTTACCGCTTTGATTTGATTTTTTTTTGTTAGCGGTGATATCATACTATAGTAGTATAAGCTCGCAAGTCGCACGCGCTCCTCTGAAAAGCCAGGCACGTTATTATCGTAATAATGATAATGACGCCTTTTCTGCTCTCGCCTCCACGCGGCGCAGCTGCAGTGATTCACGTTCTTATACGTGCCAGACGCGCGACTACTCCATTCCTTTTTTATCTTCTTTCCGTCGTTCGTGTGTATGCGTGTTTATGTGTATGTATGCGTGAGTGTGTGTATGTGTATGTGTGTGTGAGCGCGCGCGTGCATGTGGTGTGCATGTGTTATAAAGTAGGATCCAGTTTTTTTTTGCAGTTGAGAGTGCAGGTATCTCTGCGAGAGCATGACGACAGCGGCAGCGAATGCCTTTTCTTTTTTCTTGCACCCGCATGGATTAGCTTTGACTATTTTTGAAACCGAGATTCTCCAGAAGTATATTCATTATCGCTATTTTCACGCTCAAACGCGCGGACATATCTCATTATAAGACAAAGCTCGCTGTTTTGGTAAATGTATTGATTTATCGAATTTATTTAGAAGTCAGTCCACTCTACTCCTTTTTTTCTGTGGTCTTAATATGTTCTTGTTTTTTTGGATGTGGGAGTAACGGTAAAAACGAATTTGTTTTCCCCAAGGTCTCGTTTAGGAAATACCGTGTTGTGCTAACGCTCCATAATACTACTGTTTTTTATTAAGGCATTTTTTTAAATATTAATCCAGAATTTTTTTGATTCGATCGACAATTTAAAAAATTTTGACTTCCGCGGAAACATCTATGTCGTTATAAATTTATTGTATTTGAAGTTAAATTCTAAAAATAAAAATTATGATAGTGATTCTCTGAACGAATAATAATTCAAATTTTGGCGGAGGCAGAGTGTCAAAATAAATTCTTCAGAAGCTCCGAATAAGAATTTTATTTAGTTTTAGCTAAAAAAAGTTTTAATAGATTCTTCGTTTCAATTTAAATGAACGTGGCGGGTCACATTTAAACTTGTAAAAACACGCGCGACAAAATAATGTAATTATTCATTCATTAAATATTATAAATTAAACTGTAAATCACTAGTTTATTGTAAAATATGTTTTTTGGACATTCTTTTGTAATTTTGGTACTCTATTCTCAAATATAATTCAAGCGAAATTCTATAGGCTTTTATTTTATATGTATCGGCGAAGAAAATATCTTTTAAAATATAATTAAATACATGCGGAAAATGACATTGGTCGCAATAAAAAAATTCAGTACAAAAACATTATTTTTACAAGATCTTTTTTTTGAAAAATGTATCAGATCAAGGTTTCCGTCCTTGCATTTGTTGAAAAAGTGGCCATGTTCATTACTCGCATCATTCTTCGAAATCGATTGTTGGATATAGCTTACCTACAGTCAGACGGAGACACAAAAATTGGCAAAGTTACAGTTAGAACCGGAAGCCAAACAAAATTTCAGAGTCGCCACGTACGAATGCGGAGTGAATTAAGAAGCGCAATCAGAGAGGCGTAAAAACATTTTTCCGCGGCGAGAGTACGGGACGTTCTTTCACGAAATTATCGATCGAAAAACAAATTTTTCGCAAACGCACGAAGTGTTTGTGTCAACGCGACGAGCTTACATCATGTGTGCGCGAGTGTGTATGCGTGAAAGCTTGAAATTGCGCACAGCGACAAGTGCACGGCCAAACGAATACTTTCGCTTGTTTACTTTCTTTTTCTATTTTAAAAATGTGCCTCCCGATTTGACGGAATTCTTTCGATATACTATATAAGCGTCACCTGTCGCTACGAGCGTGTTACGTCGAAATTCACGTTAGCAGATTCTTTTGACACAGGATAAGCTCTCTCTCTCTCTCTCTCTCTCTCTCTCTCTCTCTCTCTCTCTCTCTCTCTCTCTCTACCATTCAGATCAGCGAAAAAAAATTCAAGCGCTCTCCCGACGGTTAAGTGCGCCGTGCGCGATAATAGCGACAATTTTCTAATGAATTCATTGTTGTTTCCTGCTCAACATACCCTCCCGAATTCGTCGACCTAAATTCGATCTTGGGAAAAGTTTGCCGGCTTGGCAACACATTCGCGACCTTTCCATATGTACATACCTCTGCCATACGTTATTCCTTCTTTTTCCATTCGTTAAGATTAGATTTCGCATCGCGCAACTGCTTCGTAATTATTTATAATCGAAATCTACCGATGGTCGTGCACTTCGATTAGCGTCGGAATTTTCAACGTCGCTGATCAAATTTTTCGAGTAACACTTCGCAATCCAAGTTTGTGATACGTCCACTAAAAATATTCAAACGATCTTAAAATAATTATCATCGAAAGTGCGGATGATTCTAAGCTCATTGGTAAATTTGCGATAGCGTTCGCGCAAATCCGAACGAGCTTGTATTGATTTTTCGATAAAAGTCGAAGAGAAAAAAGCCTGGGAGGCACGAGTACTTAACTTTTTCTATTCGTTCTCGCCGCAATCTAATCGCCTTACACAGCTTTGATGCACACAGTCGTACGTTGCGTAGTTTTTTCTTTTTCTAATCAGCATTTCTCTCTTGTAGACTCGTGCACTGTCGTCGCCGCCGCGATGTTTTCAATTTGGGATCGATCTGGTGGGATACGCGTGCGAGCGATTATCGGAGGGAAAGGCCTCCGCGAGAAGAGCGATCCTCGCTCCAGCTTTCACGTGCACGTCGTCACGAGTCAAATTGCCGAATCAAACTTTGCTCGTGCACTGTGCAGCTCGAGGAACAAAAGGAGAAGCTCTGGGGGTCAAAAATTAGTACTTTTGGTTCGCACAGCGAGAAGTAATAGCCTTTTTTTTCTTTCGCGTACCTTTCTTCGTTCCTTCTTCCTGTTTACAAAAAAATAAATCGCTGACTGATATGTTCATCCTCAGATATTAGTACATAACGATGATGATATTTATGTTTTAATCCAGCTGCAATTGGATGATTATATATCATTTTGGTTACATCAAGCTGCTTACTTACAATGTGCAACTTCACATATTAAGACACATTGTGTATATAATAATAACACATCAAAGTTTAATTATAAATCATTGTCAAGTGGTCGAGGCTCGTCGCAAACAACTCTGGCACCGATGGCATTTTTGATATACATATATCGTGGCATAACAACGATAATAACGCGCAAACCTAATCGCCGAAAAAATACTATTATCCCGTGGTGACGCGCTAATGTAATCGCGAAAATTGCGTACGGCAATTTCCTTTCTCTCTCCCGCGTGAAAAATCCCTTACGAGTTTCTTCGCGCAAAGTATTGAATGTGTGTAGATAAAATTACCAAAAAATCCGTAAAACCCGTGCACGACCGATAATTGGACGCTCAAGTGAACATAACGCTCATTCATCACTTTGCAAGTGTGTTGTAAACTATTATATCCGAAATAACGCTGAACACGTGCCTTGCGAGTTCTGCAATGCGGGATCGTAAAAAAAGGAGGAGAAAAAGAAGAGTACGTGGGAAGCTGCTGCACGTATATATAAGTATTATAACAAGCTAACTATACACGAAATAATCGATTAGGCGCCTTGACCGCGATGCGTCTGTTTACCTTTTGTCTTTCTCGAACAGTGACCTTGTTGACAAAGAAAACTCGATCTTTCGTATGTACCGCGTGGATGAAAGAGAGAGAGAGAGAGAGAGAGAGAGAGAGAGAGAGAGAGAGAGATCGTGACTGGAGAATCCGTCGTTGTACACGTGATCAGTGACTCGCTTTACATACATGCACGCACACAAGAAAGAAGAGCTTCTATCATTGCGTTGCATGCGGGTGTCGCATTTTTTTCGATGATACAGCACCTGCCACCGGGAATCGTATTTCACGTGCATACAAAAAATGGAAAAATAATAGTGCACTTTGAATAAAGCCTCGGAATTCTTGCCGGCTGGCTTAGCGTTGATAACGTAGATTTTGTACTTGACTAGTATTGGACGAAGAGATTTTCTCGCATGCATTTTTAATCGATAACGATAATAAAATATTATTCGATTATGCTTTCGATAAGTTCCCAAATAAATTGAAAACTGAATCTTGTTGCGTAGATACAATTTGATTTGATATTACGAGTTGTGGAGAAAATTTAAATTTAATGAAAGTTGTGAGCTTTGAAAACAAAGTTTCGAAGTACACTGACAGAAGGCGCTAGCTGTCCTTTTAAATACCCGGCTCACCGGCTATGATTGCTTTAGCCCCGGTACCATAATGGATGCGGACGGATACGGACGCGAATCGCAACTGTAGTAACATCACTAAAAATATCTAGTTCGATTATTTAGTACCAACACTACCAGTAATGAGTAAAAGTGACTGTTGTTTAAAACTGTAGCGCCGAACGTACCACATTTAATGTTCAAATGTCAGGTCTACAATTTACTTTTCAAATTTTCATGAATATTGCTTATTGATGAGTATGCTAATGTAAAAAAAGTTTTTGGGATGATTAATACATATCATTTATATATATTTTCTTCTTCTCATATATTCAAGTACTTCCATAAAATTAAGGCCTAATTCCACTAATTGTAGTTGAAAGTCTATCAATTCTCTATAATTTTCCATCTTATAGACTGCAATAATGTAAAGGTTAGATACGCGTTACATTAAATGTGGTACGTTCGGCGCTACAGTTTTAAACAACAGTCACTTTTGCTCACTACCGGTAGTGTTGGTACTAAATAATCGAACTAGATATTTTTAGTGATGTTACTAGAGTTGCGATTCGCGTCCGTATCCGTCCGCATCCGTACGTAACCTATGGGACCGGGGCCTTTGAGATAGGAGACTTGGTATTTGGGAATTGGAGATTTTAAGAAAAAGCATACTCTACAGTGTACTGCTGTCGGCATCGGCAGTGTCGGCATTCGGGTATATAAGTTGTTTTGTTTTTTCTGCAATATTGATCATAAGGTATTGATTACATTTGATTTTATGTCATCAAGAGTTACACTTCAATTTCCATGATTTTTACAGATTTATTAGAATGCTTGGTATTATAGTTGGTGTGTCAAGGTTACATATCAGAACAACAGCAATTTATGAAAGTTTTAGAGTTGCAAAAATATTCAAACAATCTGTTTTTCAAGAATTTTCACATTGGCGTATTGGCCTGCATAAAATAGAAACTCGTAATCATAGCAATTGGAGGACATTTGGACCAAAGAAATGGAGGTAGGATGTAAACTGAATTTAAAAAATTTGTTAACATGTGCTGTAAATACTTGAACTTTTTTTCTTTTAACAATTACGTTTTAATAATATAAATTTTTTCATTCAAAAAATAATACCAATTGTGGTTTTTAAATTAGAACAAATCATACCCATGGACAGGCTTGCTGCAATCGACAGATTTTATCCACTCCGTGTAGCATTTTTCAATATTTTAGAAGTACAACTACAAATCCAACAGATTTCAATATTAAGGTTAAAAATAATGTGATGTTATACAGATTTGAAAAGCCATATATGTTTAAATTAGCTACAGTATTTGCAGTTTTTGCATTCGTTGGATGTTTTGCAATGGCAGACATTGTTTACAAGGTGTTATGTAAAGATCTTTGGAATTCAGAAAAAGCTTTGCGAACTAGATTAATAGAACACCTACTACCAATTTCTGCTGTCATCACAGGTGTTGCAGGAGGTAGTGCATACTTGATAATTTATTTCCTTTGAAAGTGTTAAAAGAAGATTATTCATCATTTTAATGAATTTATTTTTAGGGCCAATTATTGCTGGATTTATTACCTTTCTGACAATAAAATCAGTTAAATATATTATTCTTCGTAAGGGAGGTCAGGATATTACACTAGTAACTTATCATCCCTTTAAAAGCGAAGTGGTGCATACTATGCCACTGATAAAAGTAAATAGCTTAAATTTTTTTTAAATAATATATGTATCAAGTTTAACATACATTTTTTATTTGTAAGTCAATAATTTTACAGGTGAGCTCTTTAACAACAAGAGATGGATTAAAATCGTATATACCGATAAAAGTTAAGGGATATAGATATAACTTTATGTGTGATAAAAATGGGCATTTTGTAAATCCCGAACTATTTGATAATACTGTAGGTATACAAAGATTTAAATAGAAAATGTAAGATTTTTTAAACTACGTACACTTGATATCAGATCAATGTAAATAAATTCTTTTTTCTAAGTTCAATATTACAGTATAATATTTATATAGAAAACACATTTCATTCTTTATTTCCAAATTCAATATACTTTTTCCCAACGTTTATATGTTAAGACGTAAATTTGCTATTCAGCAAATTAGGACAAGGTAGATAGAAATAAGAAATATGACATTTTACATTGAAAGTTCATTTTTATTCATATGATTTCTTTATTTTTTGATTTAACATAATTACAAGTATTCGATAATTAAAAGTTAAAAAGATTAATCGATTTATATTTACATATATATATGCATATTTATCACATACTTATTTACAATCAAGTGCTTAGAATATGTTCGAAGACTTTTAAAGTTACAATCAAAGAAAACATCGCAGTACACGCATTCGTCGTTCTCTTATAGAAACATTTTGAATTGTATAGCGTTATAGATCGAGCTTCTTCGTTAATAACATTATCACGAGTCAACGCATTATTTTTCCTTCATTCATGACTATTATTACTTTTTTTTTGTTTTTCTTTTGGCAAAAGTGTCCAAGTCGGATCAATTCAGTACCTTTCATATTTCGATAAAGTTGTACTAATGGACGACGAAAGAAACAGCGCTTTGCTTCATTTTTAAGCGACACTTTTTGCGACCTTCGTTTATTTACATTCACACGTAATTGATCGTACTGAAAAGCTTAGAGCAATTCATGATTTTTTCATTATTTTTTGTTTTTTTATGTGAAAGTTCATGAAAAATGATGGTTTTTTGATATTGTTTCAATAGTATACTCAATACGTCTTTCTTCTTTTATAGATCCGAAATTGTTTTTTTTTTTTCGCACTTTACAACATACGCGTCTATTATTTACAGAAAATTGCGAAAGACATCCTTAAGAGATAATTTTGATTTGATAATACATTTTTTTTACATACAGCCCAAGTCTCCCTCACTGACAATCTATATACGTATCTCCGAAATTTGTTGAAATTCGATAAATTTCCAAGACAATTTGTAAAGATGAAAAGCGAAAAGTTATAGATGTCTTTTTTTTGTTATTACCTTAAAATTTTATGATTTAAATTGAATTTTCTAATAAATTTGACAGTACGGAAGATTTGACTGTAGTAGTACATCCAAAAAGTGTACCGCCGAAAGCAATTTTTTTTCTAACAGTCTGGCAAATTTAATTTGCCAATCTATACTCTTTTTATTTATTGCACATGACCGTATTGCCGCGCAGTCATAAAGTTAAAATTTGATTTTGACGAAAGAATTAACGATTTTCGTGAAAAAGTCGTGTAGATTATTCAAGATTTATTTAAAAAAGTCTTTTTTTTTGTATACGTCGCAAATGTTTTTTGTTCTCTTACCTCACACTTATGAAAAGTTTTTTTAGCTTAATATGCTTTTACAAGAGTTTTTATTATGTTTTTTTTTTCGAAAAAACTTAAGTTTTTTTTGCGATCCTCTGCTTATGTCGTCAAACGTTATTTTTTTAGCTTAGTTTAACTTTAGATAAAAGGCCAAGAAATAATTTCCAAAGTTCTCATAGATCAAAATATCTTTTCTTTTGACTCTTGTCAGAATAACAACGATAAAATATTTTAGTATGCCTAAAGAACAATTTTTATCGATAATTTATATAAAACGCTTGACAAAAATTCGCTGAGCATCGCTTTTTAAAATCGTATAATCGATTTTGAATTTTACCTAGAACGAGACACATCTTTTTCTCCATTTTTTTACTTCCTAAAATGTAAAAACATGAAACTTTATAATTATGATATTGAGTACATTACAGCGAAAGTTTGAATTTCATACTTGATAATACACTTCACACTCGCAATTGCATACACTCGCTTTCTTGCGTGTCATTCGTAAGTCCAATCGACGGAATCCAAAGGAAATCTTAAAAACCGTGTTGTTCTAGAAGTCCTTAGATTAAAATTGAATCTTAATCAGACGGTTATTGATTACTATGCTACTTGCTTCATCATAAATTCGTTTATATTTTCGATTACACGGGTAGAAGCTACATTTTTGAAAGTATTAAATTTTTGAAGTAGTTTGTTCTAGCTACCAAATCACGAAATTTGCGAGAAACATGGGAGAAAAAGAGGACGAAATGAAACTTTGGAAGTCCGTCGATGACAACTGAAACATCGTGTAATATATACAATCGTACTTATGAGATAAAGGTTCTGAATGAATCCGCTGCACGAATGCGACATTCGTGCGGAAGTTTATTATTACATAGAAAAATCGCGAAGATTAATTAAAACTTCGTAAAACTGACTCTACGATGACGTTATCCATATTTCTAAATTCACTGGTTTGCAGCTCTTAAAAATGATTTGTTTGTTTGTGCTTATTCATCGATTCAATAACTATTATAAAATTTGTAAATCACGGAAAGTGCATATTTCAATGGTAAAACGGCTTTGCTTTGTTTGTAACTGTAAAATCTGACACTTATTTATTTTATCGGGCTTATTGCAAAAATAAAATTGTTGCCTTATTCATCTTCTTCCATTTTATTTTCTTGTCAATAACATTTGTTACTTTGAGGTTGCGCTTGGAAGGACATGTTTATTGTTTATTGTACGTTAATATACCGCTTCCTGTACTTTCTTGCATACTGTCGGTCAGTTTTTGCTATTGTAACCGTCAATTTTGAAACGAGGATTTTGTCTTTCGGTGAAATTTTGCGTTCGCGTTACGGCCAAACAAACGATACGTCGAAAAATCATTTCTTAAATCTGGCAAAAACCAGCTCCCAACAGTTACATTTCACTCCGTCATATCAATTGTTCACTCCAATCTCTCATTTCTATCAAGTGTAAAAATAGAAAACATTTCAATTACAGACGTGTGCGTGCGATGTACGCACACGTTTATGTTCATGTTTGTTTTATTTAAAAACTGTCCGATGCGGAAACGGGCGTTTGTCATCATTACAAATTGTTCCTAATTATCTTCATCAATATCGCGCGTCGCGCGAACTATTGCATTTAAATAGTAATAATTAATCTCGTTTCATAGCAACATATCAATATTTCCATCTTGTGATAAAAGTTCGCATTATGGGACATTCGGGGGAGCATCATATAAGAAGTATATCATTCATAATTCATTCTCGCTACAAGAGTCGCACAATATTCTATTTTCACGTATAATGCGATTAATAAACCAACCGAAACAAGAGACGAGAAAAAGAAGTCGACCCCCCAACTTGCATCTTTCTATCTTCATTCTCCCCTTACTCATGTTGTATACAATAACGCGTGCACATGTGCATGTCTCTGCACTCTTACGTCATCTGTTAAACAATCGAAGAACTTCTGTGGTACTATGTGGCGTATGAGCTGCCCATTGAGCGACCATATTTGTTTTGTTTATATGATATATTTATTATTAAGTGCACCTGTAGAAAAGAAAAATTATCGCATACGCGAATCTCGTTCATTCGTGTCATCTTTCGACTCGCTTCGCCATATATAACTGCAACATCTCTTCTCTTATCGATTAAGTTTAATGGGCACTTGTTGTTCTGCAAATGAAAAGCGTACGTATCGTATGAGCGTCTCGTAAAATATAAATGATTCGTTATACACATATTATCATTATCATTATTATTATTATTTATTATAGAAAAACCATCACACAGCGAGCGAACGAAGGGCACAATGAACGAGACTCGCCGTCATCATTATCATTTGAACACCTTATGGATATAACTATTATCGTTTATTTAAATTCCTTAAGATCACTATTGCGCTTAGAATCTGTTCTCTCATCAACAACAACAACTATTGTACATTAACGTACGCTGTAATGCCTGTTGAATATATGGTCGCTCAATGGGCCAGTTACATCATTAAAAATTGTGTGTAGCGGCTTTATTATTTTAAAAGTGCAGCGCTCCATGGCGAATTCAATCGACGTTCGATCGCCAACAATTTTTATCATCTTTTCTTTCCTGTACAAAATAAAACCCACTGCGTTCCTGTGGCAAACGAGTTTCGTTAACTATTATTTATATCGATTTATTGCACTCGAGCACTGTATGTTTGCGAGCAAAGTAAAACATTGTTCTGTGGGAAAAAAGGTATATGTGACGTTTTTCATTTTCTTTTCGTTTAATATGGAATTTCGAACAATTTAGAGCTTTCAATTTTGGACAGCACATCACGAAACTTCTTATTTTAGCTTTCATCGCCTCCCGTCGTTCACATGAGCTTGTTCGAGAAGAAGACTTTTTGACGACACCTAAATATACATCATAATTACTACGAGAGAGAAAATTTACTTGCTTACCATTGCTTAATTTCTAAACCACGATTTATGTTTTGTTCACGTAAATACCTTCGATAAATGACAATGATAGTGACTATTATTTATCGTTTACTTTTTTCTTGATACGTTATAAATGCTTGGGTAATACATTAAATTTGCGCGCGCATTTGCGTTCAAATAAGAAAAATGTCTTGTACATTTTTCAGCGGGAATTCGCCATAATAATTAATTCCGAGACTATATGCTCCCTCATCACGTTATAAATCCACCCCCCCCCCCCTCTCCCCTGTTTCCGATCGATCGGCAAACGAAGATTGTCCGTATGGAAATTGCATTCTTGGGATGCACAAACTGACGACGAGAATTCGTATACTCAGGTGCGAATTTACAGAGGTAAACAGCCAATTAGCATACCTCAAAATCACCCAATTTATATAAAAGAAACACACGTGGCGAGAATGCACTCCGAGCGCATTTCGAGCGAAACTCTCTTTCTTTCTTTGAAACTCGTTCGTTTTTGTCATACGCTGTCTCTCCGATGCTTATCGGGATGAGATTGAAATAAATAAATCTCTTCCGCTTTTTAGTCAACATTTTGCATTTTAAATTCTGCTGCAGTTATTTTTCATGCGCGCGCGTGTGCCCCCTCGAGACTCAATGAAATATTTATACGTCTATAAGTTGGTCGTTACCTCCCTTATCTTTTTGTTTTTTTAACTTCAATC